CACACGCTGAGCTGCTGCGGGACAGAGGAATGATGAGAACACAGCCCTGTGCTGCAACATCCCTCCCCTGCCCAGCTCCCCCTCAGCACAAAGGCTGCTCCTGCTCCAGGAAAGGCTCTAGGCTGGGTTCAAAGCCCTGCCTCTGGGAACCTGCCAGGAGAGCGGCGAGTTTACAGGCAGCCTGCAAAGGCAAACGTGCTTGGAATGGCTTGCTCTTACAGCAGGTTCCTCTGGTAAACCTCTGCCGGCTCCACAGCCCAGGCAGCCTTTCCTGTTTTGAGTCACTCCACAGGTTGCATCAACAGAAGCCATAAGGATGACGAGCGTGCAGGGAAATAGCCATCAGGGAAAGGAAAGCAAGAGAAGTGTCTGCGTGGCCACCCAGCAACACGAACCCGACTGACCCTCCCAGCACACAGCTCAGGAGCAGAGGAGCCGCACTCGAGTCTAAGCCAACACTCTGAGGGTTCACCCCACTTCAGCAAGCACAGGAGCTTCCAGCAGAGCATTTTTGGTTGGCCACAGCTCCAAAATGGCTGCCTCCTCCATCCAAATAGTCTCATAACCCTCCACTGCTCAGCTGAGGTGGGGCTGTGCCTCAGGCACCGCTCTGGGCATCACACCAGCTCTGTGCTCCAGAGCAAAGGAGAGGGGGTGAAGCAGCTGATGTGCTGCCAGAGACACACACAGTGGAAAACACACAGCATCCCTTCCGCTCACTCCAGGCATCACTGGGATCCCCACTGACCCAACCAGCACCCAGGGTAGCTGATCTCCCAGTTGCCATCTGCTGAACTAGCTTTGGCATTCGAGTGTCTCCTGGCCTGGGGTTAAGCCATGGCCTACAGGGACAGGCTTCAGAGCCCAGTGCCATGCCAGGGAAAAACCAAACCTACCTGCACAATGTCCAGCACCATTCCAGCAGCAACGGTCCCAAATTTTGGAAAGAGGACTTGCAGCCCGATGGAAAAGGAGGTCTCCTTGAGGGGAGAGGCTGGCTCCGGACCTCGGTCCGTGCTGGTGTCATCGCTTTCATTGCTCTGGCTGCCATTTTCCAGCAGGGCATCTTCTTCCCGCACCCCTTTAGCATTGGCACGGGACTCCAGCACCACCACTTCCACCCCAGCTCCAGCCGGTGCCAGGAAATCCG